ACCCTGGGCCCTTATATAGACAGGTGTAGCCTTTTCAGATCATGTCCATCAGCTGAATTGAGCACAGCTGAACTCCAATGAAGCTGCTGAGACATCTCCAGAATGACCAGAGGAAGCAGGATGAACCTGAGCTCCATTTAGAGCTTCACACCAAACGCTGTGAACACTGATGTACATCTGATTTATCAGCTCTTTTATTTTTAATCTATTTTGGAATAAGGCTGTAACATAAGCAATGTGGAAATAGTGAAGCGCTATCATTACTCTCGTGATGCTCTGTACATGTAATATTGGAACATGTTCAACGTTGTCAATGAAAGTTCTGTTTGGTCTCAAACCAAAAGCAAAAAAGAGGTAAGTGTGAAGTGTGCCATGGCTATTTCAGGCATGTGTGTATGTGTGTACGCACCCGAATCGTGTCTCCTTGCGCCGCAGCCTGGTCCCATAGACGGCCAGCAACACTGCCAAAGCCACGGCCACGGCCACTGCCATCACCACATACCACCAGTGCCAGGAGAACACTGCAGGAGTGGGGGAACCTACTGACACACACACACACACACACATGCATACACACACACACACACACACACACAACACGCACCACACACTTCATGAAGAGCACAGCAACCTGTACATCTCTATTTTTAATGTTGTGAACCCAAATGTAATCTAGGGCTGTTTCTCAGCAACACATTTATAAATTGAAACAGCGCGACGCCCGCTCGATCAGAGCCATGATCCTAGCGTCTGTGCCCAATTTGGGAGGTGTGGCCTCTACAGGCCTGGAGATATAACACATATTCCCTGAGGCAATATAAGAGTGTGTGTGTGTGTGTGTGTGTGTGTGTGTGTGTGTGTGTATGGATGAATTAGCTCACTGAAATGACCTCAGTGTGGGATGTCCAGATTTACAGCAGGCTGTTCTGCTTTTAGAGATCCTGCTGGGGTTTTATTTTTATTCTGCTGAGCTTCTGCCTGAAACTGCTCTTCTTCCTCTTTTCTGAGACACCAACGTCTGACAGAACAACAACTTTTCAAGAAGGACGGCAGATAAGGGAAGTAAAAGGAAAGTCCCCTTGTGTGTCTTGAGTGTCTGTGACTGTTAAGCGGAACGAGTCCCCAACACTTGATCAAACTAAACCTCAGTTATGACAAATGAACAGAGCTGTTCTGGTCAGAGATAAAGGACATCCGGCCGTCTGTTCTGGCAGAATGAAGCTGTTGTAGAAGACTGACGGGTTTATTGTGAATAACCACCGGCTGGATGTACATTATGCTGATTATTACACAAAACAAATCTATTAGACACAAAACCCTGATCTGAGCGGATTCTAACTCTTTATTAAGCGTGATGCTGGTGTATTATCATCAGCATTCAATCACAAGACGACGTCAACCCGTCAAGAACAGCAGAGTGATGATGATCACGAATGCAGGAGTATGTTCACTAATGCTCAAGAGGACCACCGAGTTACTAGTTTAATCAGTTCTTATCGGCGAATAACCTGCCTTGGACTGCCATGACCGGCCAATTACCATGCAAAAATAAAGAGAGTCATGTAATAATAGTCATTACTAATCAATAAGAGTGAACAGGAGATGGTGAACACTCACCTCTGGACTGGCCTGTTTCTGCAACACAGTAAAGCAGAGCATTAGCATTAGCATTAGCAGAAGCCAATGTATGCTTCTGAGTGAGTGTGTGTGTGAGAGAGAGTGATTGTGTGTGTGTGTGTGTGTGTGTGTGTGTGTGTGTGTGTGTGTGTATGTGTCTAACCTGTGGGGATGAGTGTGAGTGTGTGTTGGGCAGTCCAGGGCCCCGGGCCCGCTCCAGTGTACGCACACACTCTGAAGGAAATGTTGGACAGCGGCTCTGACAGATTCACACTCTGCTCTGTGTCTAAACCCACGTCCAGCACTGCCTGCAGACACACACACACACACACACACACACACACACACACACACAGCAGAGCGTCAGACACACAGAAACACACATGCTTGAATACGGACTGACTGAGCGACTGATTCTCTGATGTACTGCAGGACTGTCAGACTCACTGTGACTGAGGCCGCTTCAGCTTTATTAACTGTACGACTGTATTCCTCTTACTGCAGCACAATTGTCTCTTTAATTCATCATAGCATATTATAGTAAGACATAAATACATGCGTTTGCATGAATGTAAAATAGAAAATGATGTGGCTGAAAATAAACGCAGAATAAATAAATGCTGAAGTGATATCATCCCTGCCAATAATATTCAATAAACACTGAGTTATTAATGTTTAAACTAGTCACGGCTGCTTCCCAATCACTGCTTCATGAAGCGCCGACACCGTTACCAATCTCATTCTGAATCAGCGGAACACATATCAAATCNCCCTGGTCATGTGACCTCAGTAAACGAGGCTTCGTTCCGTCATTACTGTGTAGAGAGATTTGGAAAGGTCAATATTTCTCCACTAGGGGGCGATCTGGGCAAAACCATCAAATCCTCATCAGTCGCACGTCTTCACCTGCTCTTTTTACCTGATCTCAGAGCAGTTTTACTAGTTTGTAGACATTTTAAAGAGACATTTGTCAAATGAGAAGGAATAATTATGATTAATATTCTCTTTTCGGCCTGTTTAGCAGAGCCCATAAGCTTTAGAGATGTATAACAGAATGCACATCATGCACACTCAAACACAAGAAAACTGTTTTAACTGCTGAAAAGCTACGGGCCTCCCGTCACCAGCGCTCTGGTACCTGGACAGTACAGTAAAACGACAGTATTTTGATTTCACCTGCTCCTCATTGGGAGTGCTGTACTCCAGCATGTAGCCCTGCAGCCGGCCGTTGATCCGTCCAGACACCTCCGACCAACTCAAGATCACTTCTGTCCCGTTCAGCACAGCCGTCACATT